ACATTTGTGATTGGTTTCTTTGTACTGGATAATCAAATAGAAGGCCATAAGCTCAGTCATAAATGAATGAGTGAACATGGTGTTTTCATTGTTATTTTATTTTCTGCAGGTTCCTTTGATGAAGCTGACAGAGTTAGGTCCCCTGACGCAGGAAGTAGCGACTCTGATGGTCCACCAGCCATATTGAGGAAATGGCAGAGACAACGACCGAAGTCAGAATACAAAATCCAAGATGACAAGACAATTATTACTCAGAAACGACTAAGTGCAACATTACCATGGCAACCAGAACATCTTGGAATTACAGACAGAACTGATGATCCAGTCTTAGAAAGAACCAGACGTGATTTTACTGATACAATCAGCACCCAGCCCATTCCTTCAGTGCGATCCAATCAGATTGATGTTCGAGAAGACCGTAAGAGAATTGAAGCGTGGAATAATGAACAGGAACTAAAGAGACAGGTAATGAGCTTGGTGGAATCAATTTGAATTTTCATCAAATCAAAAATCCTTAAAATTTGATTTTTTTGTTTTGCTTTTAATTTTTCTTTAATCGCACGAAAAACTTTTAGCATGTTAGCACAGCATGTTTTTACCCCGCCTGACAAATTTGGCCAACCTGTTCCTCAGAGGTGATATACAGATGGGATATTGGCAAGATTTGTCAGGCTCATTTTTACCAAATCATCCTGGCACATTTAACTGTAAAAGCATGGAATAAAAATGAACATCTTAAAACCTTAAAGATAAAATATTAATCCCATAAAATTGTGCTTTATTTTCACGAGCAAACCAATTAAGCATCCCAAAAAAAAAAACTTGCCGGTCACTTGTTAGCGAATGACAACATGTCTTCACCTGTAGCTTCCTGTCACATGACATCACCTTCTTCACCCGTGTTGTGTACCTTCATCATTGCTGTAACAATTAGGACAGTGTAATTTATTGACACGGATTCTCACGTCTTATGGGGTTAAAAATTGTGATCCATTAGACCACTAGCAAAATAAACAAAGTACATAGTCAAGTATTGCAGATTTGCTAAAACTTGCGATGAAAGCATGTTTATGTATACAACAGAAATTACTACTATCCCTTAGTTTTTTAGAATTTTTGTAATGTTAAACTAACATTGTCATGAATTGTGTATTTTTTTATCAGCCTGATGACTTGAATGCTGCCGTAGTCAATAACATCCAGTCTTTTAATAACCAGCCCTATAACAACCAGGTAATATTTCTGTTTGAATTCTTGAGGAAGTTGAATTATGTGTGAGATCTCATTGTATGTTGGTGAAACTCTGTGCAGTGATTGGACTTCTGAGTTAATTTTCTCGATACCAAAACATTTAAAATGAAATGAAATGAATGGACTTTTACATCTGCATCATGTGGGCTAATGAAGATGGTCCAAAACATTTTTAAGACCCCATGAATGTTAGAGAAAAAAGATTTAAGTGAAGACCACAGCACACTATTTCAATATATTTTAAATATTATTGTAGGCTGAATTTGAGGCTAATCGCGAGCAGATGGCGAAACAATATGAGGAAGCCCAAAAACAAGCCAGTCAAATTCATCAACAGAATGAAATTAAGGTAAATAAACTTTGAAATGGTCTCATTTTTTGGCTTCACTATATTTTAAGAGAAATGGATGTTGACAGATCAAGCTTGCTTTTTGACAAGACAATGTCCTTTGCAGAGAGTTCACTTTGTGTGGCTTGTTACCATCCAAATTTTGAAAATGGGGTGATATTTCTAATTTAGGCAATGGAACTGAACATGCTGAACAGGGTTGTATTGGAATAATTTAGGAATTTTGACTGAAAATTTAACTGATTTTGAGATTATTATTTACAGGAGAGAGAATTGCTGGAACCAGAAATGGAGAGAATGAGAATTTTAGAAGAAAGACGACAGGAACGCAGAAAACGTCTGCAGGACTTGCATCTTGATAGTGAAGAACCAACCACAAGCACTGTTTCATCTCAACCAATAGAAATCACCGAAACTAGAGCCACACTTTCTTACAATACTCAAAACAATTCTAGACCAATCAATTCCTCGACTGGAAATTTGTATCCAATAGAATCACCTCCTCGTCCAACTGAAATCACGCAAACCAGATCGACGATATCCTACAGCGCCCCTCAACACCACACCTACCAGAATGTGTATGAACCGAACTACGTCAACCAACCTACTTCAGACGTCTCCACCATGAATATTCATGTATCAGATGGACGACCAGCACAGATGTCCTCCGACCCCAACCAGCCGGCCATGTCATACATGTTACCTAGCAACCAGTCAGGTGGTTTGATTATCGATCCTAGAAACAGGTTAAATGAAAGGTGAGTTGTTTTGGTTCAGGGTTTGTTTGATTGTCTAAATGTTGATCCTAATTAGTAATTCATAACTTGCTGAATTTTTTTAATAAACACTGATAATTCTTGTGTAATTGTAAATATCAAAAACTCAGTGTAAAATGTTTTTTTTTTTTCAAACCAAACCTCTAGTTTATATTGAAACATTTCTGAAACACTCTTCACAGTTTAAATATGATTTGCCCTCTGAGCTATGTATGTGGTGAATACAAGCCCACAAATTTTATGTAGATGTAAATTTGAACTCCCCCCCCCCCTCTCCCTAATACATTGTTGAACTATTTTCTAAAACACTGTTCAACTATTTTTTGTACATTCAACACCAACAATGTATTGAAAACTTATCAAAATAATTTATTATTGAATCTTATTTCTGAAACTCTCCTGTTTTTGCCAATATTGTGTTTGAAATTTACAAAAACTTTTTCTTACAGTGAGCCTGTTCCTCAATATAGTATTCAAGTTAATCTAAACCAGCGAGAAACACCACAAGGTTTGGTTATCCAGCCTGAAATCAGATCTATCCCAGGTAGGTTTTAGTCTTAATTCAAATGTATATACACAAAAATTGAATATTAGTGAGCCTAAAAAGTGTGTGCTTAAATTATCATGTCTAATTGAGCTAATTGTGCTTGAACTGACTGCTTACCATTGAAGAATCCTCAGCCCAAGTACCGGCCAATCAGAAGATCCTCAGTCCAAGTACAGGCCAATCAGAAGGTCCTCAGCCCAATCACATTTTGAATTATCTAGTTCATTCTTATACTAACCTTGCAATTTTTAGATTAGAATTTATATCAGGCATTAGTTCAAAAAAGGTGCAAAAAAGAAGAATTTTTTCTTTAATATGTAGAATTAAATTTCAGATTTTCAGCATAGAATTAAATTTCAGTTTTTTAGCATAGAATTAAATTTCAGTTTTCACGCATTAGAAGTAGTTTGTAGATTTACTAACCCAATTTTTTTATGATTTTTTTTAACAGTCCATGACGCCAATTTTCTAGAACAAGAAAAAGAAAAGATTCGGCTAGAATATCAGAAATTCGAGGAAACGTTCCGGAAGCAGCAGGATGAGGAAGATCGCAAATTTCAGGAACGAGAACAAAAATTGCGAGAACAGGAGGTAAGCCTGGAATTTGTTTCGATGTCTTTTTTGTTATATATTTTTTTTTTGTTTTGATTTGGTCAAGGTAAATTTTGTTCTGAATTTTTATGGCTGAAATTTTTGTTTTTTCATTTTTTGATTTATCCATTGGGCCATGGTAACTTTTGTTATAAATTTTTAAGGGAAGAAGTTTTATATAACATTTGCTTTTTGAAATCTTTTTTAAATTTATTAATATCTGAGATTGCAAAAAAGGTATGTAGAATATTTCCTTTGTTCTTTCGTGACAAAAGGATAACTTGACTGTTCATTATGAAATACTTGCTCACTTATGATTGATATATTTCCTCATATTAAAAGTTCATTAGCTTGCCCATATATTGTTTTGGATTTCAGGTTTTGTTTTTCGTTAGTACTTGGTTTCTTTATTGAGACTAACTTCTGTTTGTTTCAGGAGAAGCTAAGGCAGGAAGAGGAAAGATTACGTAAAGAAGAGGAGAAGTTAGAAAGAGAGCGTCAAAATTTACGAAAATCTACCGAATTCTCCCAGTCGAATCCACCTAAATTTCATGACCCTGTCCCAACACGTGTTAGAGGTCAAAGTGCATTATATAAATCCACTGTGTCTCCTAACCGAACGGAGCCGAAACCTAAACCCTCAACTTATTCAACGTCTATGGTGATTGATAATAACCATAGCAACAGACATAATGTAAATAAGGTAGAACCAACATGGCCGCCGAAGCCTAGGCAACCAGGAAATATTAGTGTTAATAGATCACATGATCATTGGCCACCTGGTGGTAGAACTTATGATGTGAAAAACGTAAATAGTGCTAAAAGACCAAATGACTTTCCTTCAAAGGATCACCATGGTGATGTACAATCTCTTAAATCGCGGTTCTCGGAACCTGGCCAGAGAAATAGTTGGTCGAGAGAAGATATGATGGCCATGAACCGTAAAGCCACACCGCTCCAATCAAAACCTGATAATGATTCCAGCCCAACAAGTCCATCATCTACCGGACCTGTCAAACGTGAAATACCAACAAGAAAAGAAATCCATTCTTTAAATGCCGTTCCAAAACCAAAGTTACGCCAATCTGTGGATTGGATCGAAAGAAGTGAACAAGTTCCTGAACGCAGAGCTGCTTCTAGGCGTAGTGATATGATGAAAAACCAATATTCAGATCCTGTAAAAGGTCATTGGCTCGTTGAGGAGGCGGAGCGAAGGCGTATAAACAGTGATCTGAATGTGAAATCCTCCACAATGCCGATTCAACCAGGTCCTTATAATGGGCCCATAAAACCACCGCGAGATCAAAGCAACGTGTGGAGCGCCTCAAATCCCCAGATAACGCCCAATCAAAGGATGGATCCAAACATGCCGAAACAAATCCGACAAACTTTATTACAAAAAACAGCCACCGTTCGCGGATCAGGGGAAGTTAACCCTCAAGAAAATGAACCTCAAATTACACGCAATCCATATCTTACACAAACAATGCCCCCTACATCTTCTACAGGATACGGAGGTTATAATTCCCCTCGTAATGGTGCTAATCTACCCCCATCCACCAGTGTTCCGTCTCCCATCAACCAGGGACCAGTCAGTGGTAAACAATTGTGTTCAGCCTGCCATCAAGAATTAGGTTGGTTTCCACATTTATCTTCTGATAGTGGCGTTTCTAACCCATTTTACATAGTGAAAGAATGGGCTGTGGCCTCCCTGGAAAATTTTGTTGCCTCTGTCGCCCCCCCCCCCCCCCTTACCTGATGTTTCCTAGAATGCAACTGTTCTCTCAAAAAATCTAAGCAAGCACGGGGCAATGGATTCAGCTGAATGTTTGTTAATTTTCATAGATATTTCAATTATCCATATTCATAGATGACAAATGGAATGTATGGTTTTCACTCAGGCTTCAGAATTTAGTGCAAAACTTTGAATTGACAAGTGAGATACAGAAATAGTTGAATTCATCTTTACTCAGAAAACTAATCAAACTCTTTTGAATTTTGTTTTGTGTTATCTAATTTCAGGTTTTGGAGCTGCAATGATAATCGAGAAACTCGGTCTATATTACCACATGCCATGTTTCAAATGTTGCGTCTGTCGAATGACCTTGGGAAATGGAGTGGAAGGAGCAGACGTGAGAATCCGTGTCAATAAATTACACTGTCCTAATTGTTACAGCAATGATGAAGGTACACAACACGGGTGAAGAAGGCGATGTCATGTGACAGTCATGTGACAGGAAGCTACAGGTGAAGACATGTTGTCATTCGCTAACGAGTGACTGTTAATTACAGGGTTGGATTGTTGCTTTTAGAACTAATTTTTCACCAATTTTGTTCTTAGTTTATATCTAACAAAATTAACTCCTTTTTTCACTTTTATTTTTTTATTTTGCTTCAATTTCATTTTATATTTTGCGAAGTTATTATTCTGCAGTTCTTTTTAATGCTTGAAATTTCGAATTTTGCCTTTTTAACTTTGTGTTTTTGTTGATTCATTGATTCATGATAGTATGACAGTATGCTATAAAACTTTAAATTAGATTACTGATTTTAAAGGGGGCGTGTCTTAGAAAATGTCTGAGTATGGGAGCAAAAATAAGAGGTGTCTCTTGGAGGTAGGGCCTGAAAAACGAAATATCTTGAGACAAAGTGTCTTGGGACTGTCAAAGACCCTATGAAGACAATGGATTTCAGATCGCCTGAATAACTGAATAGCTCAAATTTTATATTTTGATTCAATATTGAGAGCTAAATGTCAGCTAAATTGTAGGCGAGAATTACTATCCAATATTCAGGTCAGAATGGTTGGTAAGGGAGTTGTTGATACCTACCTGACAAAGATTATTGGAATGGGTACCTCTGCCTCATGACATATGCATCATTTGTTAGACCAATGTGGTGCAGAACTCTAGGATATAAACCACAGTTTGTTTTTTAAAGCATTCATTGCATTTGATTTTATTTTGAAACTTTCAATGGATTGGTAAAGTTAAGTAAAAGTAAAGTAATTAATTTTAGGCATGTAACCCTTTAAAGACAAAAAAAAATATCGAAATTTATGCCCTTTTTTTTTGCCATCGGCCATGTTTTTCTTAGGCTCAACTTTACTATAGAATTCCAGAACCAAAGTTTTTGAAAATTGAAATCCAACCCTGCTGTAGACATGTATGCTGGTAGCTTTCCTTTATCCCTTCTTTCTTCTCTCTTTCATTTATTCATTCTTTGTATTGTCTTGCTTTATCTTAACAATATTTTTTGCATTTTGGTAGTATTATAGCATAAATAAGTTTTGATTTGAGTGCGATAAATTTTTTTCTAACTTTATTAGAGCATTTTATTCCTTTAAATATAGAAATCTTACTTTGCCTGGAAAGATTCAACCAGGCTGTGCATCTTGTTCCAGTAATTTTCAAAGCATTTTTTTGTTCTCAATTCGAATTTTTTGCTACTATTCTGTTTTCTTTGCTCAGCTCATGGCCGTGTAAACTAAAAACAGACTTCAAATACAAAATAAGCAGTAAACACTATTTCTGTTTTTATGTCATTTTTCTGCAGCTTTTAAAAATAATATTTATCTACAGAATTACTGCCAATTATTTGATTTAGCCTCAAATCTTGAAAACAGCCTTTCTGAGGAACAATCTCTGTGATGTAAAAGAAGAATGCTCAGTTTTATTTTTGAATCTGACAAAGGCTTGATTGTTTTCCCGCCAAAATATTTTTTTTAACTTCTTGTTTTGCTTTTTTTTTTTCAGCTGGATTAAAGTTCAGTAAAGTTTGATGATGACTAAACACTGGAATTCATCATAATATACCATAATCAACCAGAAATATAACAATACCAAATATAGACATGAACTAGTATGCATGTATGAATGGAAAGTGCTTACTATATTAATATATTCTAAACTGTTATGAATGGTATGACTAAAACTTGTAATGAACCTAAATCAACAAAATTTAAATTGGCTTCAGATAACAGAGATATTTAACTGCTTCAAGATTGCCATTACAATTGCATAATAATATATTATTTTGTGCACAGAATGTTATTCAATGTAGGCAAAATTTGTTTGGATTAATTTCAAAATGACACAATGTTGCAAGTTTTTGACAAGTCTTTGTAATTTGTCTGTGTTCAAAAAGTGTTTATTATGTTAACAGTAATTAGCAATATCCATAGTAAAAAGTGTATAGCTTATAGGCCCTCTAGTATTTGTATGTTCTTCATTCTATAGTAGATTACTATCTTATTTGCCGAATGTTTGATTAAATTATTGCTATAGATAATGTTTATTCATAAATTACATTGATTAAACCCATAAAAAGTGGGAAGTCTATTGGCTACCCATTGTGTATTTGTGACTTTACCAAAATTGCACCAAAAAGAGGCAGGTGTTAATCTTAAACTTAATATTAATTAATGCATTTAATGATACAATTACACAGAATTTTTCAAAAAATAAATTCTAAAACAGAAGACCAAACTATTCTGATTTTCAGAAATTATACGAGGGAATAATTTGAATTATATTTATCAAAAATGTTTTGACAGTCAATTCAAAATTAATCATGTTTTTGTAGAAAAAGTGATGAATTTGGACATTAAAAATGAAAAAATTTAGGTGTCAAATATATAGTGCTAATATTAATTTATTGACAAAATAGAAAATATTGTGAAAAAGACTTAATTTTTGTCTCAAGTTATTTCGTTTTTTGTTTGTTTTTGTTTACATTTCTGTTCATTTGCTTTTGTTTTCATTTTGTTTTGTTTTGTTTGTTTTTTTCACCAGTGTTAGATATTTTTTTGCATTTTGTAGCTTGTTGAAACACATGGGTATGCTTTGTGCTGATCTGAAATGTTGCTGTTGTTTTTGAGAGCCTGATTTTCTCACCTCAACTAGAACAATATGAATATAGGCATTGATATTTGAAAATAAAATGCCTCTTTTGTTAGTTACTCTTCTATCCTGAGAAAATTCCCTCATTTCCCATTGCATGGCGTCGCCTGTTTATATTAGTCTAATTAGGAGCTTTCGTTTAATTTTGTCACAGTTTCTAAAACTGTTGTTACAGTCATCCTGGCACTTGAAATTGGAAGAGGCATTTAAGGAATTTAAGAAAACTGATGGTCCTTCACCAGCTATCCGCCCTGTGTTTAATAATGTTATACTACGATTTGATTGTATATTAAAAACTATTTGTAGCTTGCTTCATTTCAAACATCCCATGTCATTATGAAACCTCTATTTTTCTTGTATGTGATAAAGGATATCCATTGATAAATAACAAGTGAACCAAACAATCTGAAACTGGAAGAAAAAGGTGTCTACTTTTTGGTGCGAGCCTCAGTAACAGTAGCTTATATGAATACATCTCAATATATGCTTTCTCAGCTTATAGAGTTTTACTAGACTTAACTCCGTATCAGAGGCCTCTAGATAACTTTACTTAAGATGATTTAAGTGTTCCAGTCATCTGATTAGTTAATCAGTTTTAAGCTGAGTTTTATTATCCAATCAGATCACTGTATTTCTAATAATCTGACAGCGTATTCTCCAACGATCTTAGCGGTAGGGTTTCCCAAGGTATTAACTTCTAACATTATTTCTAGGATATCCTAGTGTTTACTAAGATCGTTTCCAGAATACGTGGCTTGGATATTTTTTTTTTATCTTACTAAAGTTTTGGAGATTAAGGCCCATGAGTTGTCTTCAAGGAATCTGTAAAAAAAATACAAACCTCATCATAGACTAAATAAAGACTAGAGAAATTGTAAATATGAAAATGATATATTGTATATTGACATAGTTTATTGTACGAATGAAATTCCTATTTTTATATACACCAAGCAATTTATTTTGTAGAATATAATTCCATATTATCACTTAATATTAAAACGAAATGTTAATTTGCATTTCTTCTTCATTTTATATGACTAAAGTGACAGAAATCCACTAAAAGTTACAGATAAAAAAATTGTTGCGTAACTGTGGAATTGAACATAGAAAAATATCAAAATTAGTCTTAACCTTTAATAATTGGGGAACAAGAAAAATAGGGTCACACTGGAATCGAAGTATTCAAAACTGAAATGCCACTGGACAGTGCTCAGTCTGTCCTCAGTGAATTTATATAAACATGAAGATATTATACTCTTCGCACATTCAAGTTCATGTTATCTTGATGAAACTAATTTTGAACACAAACACAATCCTTGTTTCTCCAGGAACCATAGATTTACAAACTTGTCCAACTGGAAAATGGAGCCATTCATCGGCGGAAACGATTCGATGTCCTATTGTTTAACATGTAAGGGAAGAGTGGCGGTATTATTTTTTGGGCACGTTCAAATTCATGTATTCCAAACTGACTGGTTCTTCAGATGCATCATTAGCATCAATTTTTATTGAATCTGAATTGTTTCCAAGTAAAGTCGACCCAGTTCCGGTATTCATATAGACCGGACTGCCTGGAAGACCAGGGTTACTCTGGACTTCTGAAGATCCTTGTTTTTGCTGGCTTTCCAGTTGAGTACATGTATATAGATGATATTGAGGAGTTACTGTTTGAGAGACATCCAATGGTTCATACGTGTTCGAAATTTGCTCTTTGAGCTGTTCTTTGTCTAAAGAAGTGTACAAAGGAGGTTGTGTGGTATTCACGTATGTAGGGCTTCGGACACCATATGGGTCACCAGAACCTTGAGAATTGTCCATGTACTCATTATTTCTGATCAAAAGGGTTCCTTGGAGGTTCGGTGTCACTCCCACAGTGTCTGGATTATTGACTGTCTCTAGATTATTGATGTATATGGGATTGCCCGGAGCATAAGATAATATCCGGGAGTTCCGTGCTTGGCCTGAAAATAAACGAAACGTTATGGATCTTACGGGTGGCATGGACAAGGTTCAGCCAGTCCCCGTGGTTGTTGAGCCACTGTAAGATGCTACAGCACTTTTCTATCGGACCTTAGATAACACTATGGGGCATGTGATGACGTGTTATAATCACCCAATTCAATAAATACCAACGAATTTATAGATACAGGACACAAACGAAGATGATTATTTATCGATTGAATAATTCAAATGAAATGAGAGGAGTTTTACGTCTTACTTTTCTGTACCATGTGGGCTAATGACTGAATAATTCAAGGCAAAACTTGTAGATATTTAAGCCAATAATGCTGTACGAAACCATTCACGTATTGGAATATATTTAGGGTTTGTTCTTACCTCTTTTATAAATGATTACAACTACAAAGATGGCCATTACAACGAGCACAATCAGCCCGAGGACAGTGCCTACAATGACACCAACCCCCACCGTTGTTTGTATATCTGATTCCTCTAGTGTAGGTTCTTCAGTCGTACTGGTCAACATTGTGGTTGTAGGCGTTGTGGTTGTAAGCGTTGTCATGATAGTAGACACTGTTGTTGTGGTCGTTGACTGAATCGTCGTGCTTTGTAGTGTGATTATTGGTGGCGTTAATGATACATTGATCTTGTCTGGCCTGGAAGCAATGGTTATATCAGTAATGCCTGTAAAATTCATCAATCTACCTGTGTTCGTTAAAAGTGGTCTTACAGTCAATGGCGCATTGGTTTCGCTTACAATCTGACCGACTTCGGGAGCTATTGGTTTTGTTAATGGTTCGACTGAAAAAAAATACAGTACGGTCATAGTTTACTAGGTTCGTTTATCAAAGAACTGACGTAATTCGATGAAACTGTCGTGATTGGTGGAATGGGGGCGACTCATTTATGACCAACCTTCTTAGGTTATCTTTTTGTAATAGAAAAATTCGGGCTTAAGCATCGTTTGGAATCCAAAGCAGCCTTTCCTGGTTTCATTGCGTCAATCTAGTCGAAAATATAGTTTTTTTTTCTAGCTTTATAGGGAAAAGGCTGAAGATCTAGTGGAGAATTTAAGAAACTGCTATACTTGGTTGGGTTTTTATTCAAGGAAAATGCTTTTCTGTTCTAGGGTCTTAACTTCTAACACCGTATCTAGGATATCCTTAACTTCTAACACTGTTTCTAGGATATCCTAGGTCTTAACTTCTAACACTGTTTCTAGGATATCCTAGGTCTTAACTTCTAACACTATTTCTAGGATATCCTAGGGTCTTAACTTCTAACACTGTTTCTAGGATATCCTAGGATCTTAACTTCTAACACTGTTTCTAGGATATCCTTAACTTCTAACACTGTTTCTAGGATATCCCAGGGTCTTAACTTGTAATAATGTTTATAGGATGTCCTAGGGTCTTAGCTTCTAACGCTGTTTCTAAGATATTCTACCACATTAGACCATTTCGAGAATACGCAGTCTTGCACTTACCTATAATCTCTATCAGAATAGTTTGTTTATTATGGATGGGTTTCTTACGATTAATCGCCACACATGTATATACCTGACTCCCTGGAAGTTGCTCTTGAATAATCTCTGCTTGCAGGACTCGCTGTCTAAAGACCACTGGCCCAGTAGCTGATCCTTTATGCCAGAAGTAGGAGCATGGCGGGTTGCAATCCGCGGAACATTGGACAGCCTGAGCGGACCCACCACTGGAGAGTACGACTCTCGAACTCGAGTTCAGACGGATGTTATCTGGTCCACCTATTGAACAGAAATAAAAGCAGATTCATTAGTCTCTACCAGTGAATGGACAGTATGTTGTTTTGGACTCGTTTAGCGATCCCGATCGTTAGTAACAGATGGCAACCGACCAATTCCACTACTGCAACTAAATACCATACACCTCCCATCGAACAATCAAGGGCCTAAAGGTACAGAAGATTGGAACGTAAAACTCGATACATTTCATTCATTCTGGCATGCTGACCTTAGCGATTACTTACTGTAAACAGTCACAGCTAGAGATGCCGCCATTTTGGAACTGTTAAATTCTTTACAAAGCCATAAATAATCGAAACCTTTAACAGTAGCATTATCTGTCTGGTGATAAAGGATTCTGTCCCCGGAGGCACTGATGGAACATCCACAGGGAAATCTGTCCGAGGGTAGAATTGGGCACGACTCCATCAAAAGGGAACATACTCGTTCAGATCCTTTCAGCATGATAATTGATGTGTCTAGAGACGCTGGCGCGGTGCAGTTGATTCCGTACCGTTGACCTTGAACTGCATAATTTCGACCGTCACTTCCGGTTATTGATATTTGTGCTGAAATTTAGATAAAGTATTTTTCATTATTTGTTCTAATGCTAATTGGTATAGTACAAGAATTATAACCAAAGATATCCCGGGAAGCAAGACGTTCTTGTATGGTCCTTTGATGGGGTTGTCGGCTTTGCATATTTGCAAGTGGTATTGGACTCTGAATGGGTCTAGTACGAATATGAAATCACAATAGCTGACTGCGTTTCCCTCATGGTATTGCGGAAGTGACGCCCACATCTGGTTCAGGTCACCATGGCAGAATATGAAAGTAATCTATGTCTTTAGTCTGGTTTCTTAAATTGAGATACATCCTTACCATTAGTGAAGCTGAGGAACACAAGTGATATCACAACTGAGACCATCATATTGTAATAGAATTCAAACTTCGTATATTGAGGCTGTCGAAATTTATCCTTCGAAGTTGGTGATGAAATAAAGTGCACTATTCAGGGATCTGTCCTCAATAAAACGCGTTTAAGTTACAGTTCTCGTTTTCATAACCTTTATCTAAAGTTTATAAACCGCATCTGAATATCACACTCGTCACGTCACGTCACGTCACATTAAAAATATTAACGTCACACCAATGTCACATATCCAAAATTGATCAAATATATCTGAAGCAAATGTAAAGATCCACAGTTTAAACGATCATTTTATTTCATAAAACTTTTAAAACTAATAGAACCTGTTCATAATCAAAATAATATTCACCAAATTCAGAAATGAACTAAGACTAGAAATAAGGCGGATATAAGATTATGACTGTTTAAACGGATCTCTGAACGGAACTGAATACTTCAAATTAGATTTATCTGCAATAGTACAGTTAGTTCATTTTAAGTAGGCAAATCTTACATCTAAAATACGCAAAATATTATATATAGACACAGCCTAATGAAACAACTATCACTGGTGTCACTGGTTATAGTTTGAAGCAACGTTTCGACGGGTTTCCCCTGTCCTCGTCTGCGCACGAGGACGACATGGGAAACACGTCGAAACGTTGCATAAAACTTTTACCAGTGATTGTTGTTCCATTAAGCTGTGTTTATATCAATCGTACTTTAGTCTCAGAAACGGGAATATTTTCAGCTTTGTTTATCAGTAATAGTGTTCACAGCTCACCGTCGAAATTTGAGCCTATTAGTGTCCATGAATTGTCTGTGTTTGAAAACTAAGAAGACGAGTCGTATGATATCATATCGTCCTAATATCATAGGGTGAATTTTTAATGAGATTTTTTTCTATAAATAATTTATTTATCTATTTACATGGATGATACAAAAATATTAAAAACAATTTCTTATATAAAATAATACATTGTGATTATATCATTATTATATCTACTGATGTAGATTTCTATGGTATATAGGAATATTAAAACAGAACCTGAAACATGTTGTTACTTAAAGTTTCACGTTGTGCGATCTTCAGACGACTTCAGTGATATTAGTCAGTTGTCTGAAGACCGCACAATGTGAAACTCTGAGTAACATGTTTCAGGTTCTGTTTTAATATTATTTTGTATGGTTAAATAAATATAATGCTGCATATATCACAGAATACCATGAGATCAAAGAAACAAAGAGATTATCACTGAATATCATAAATAAGTTGGCTGTTTTGATCAGTTAAATAAAAAATTAATATATCAGCCATATTTACAACATATAGTATACATTAGAAATAAAATAGAATAACATCATAACAGCATGGCTCAGAGAATTCCCCAAAATATCAGACAATCCACAAAGGTTTGGAATTCCCTCACATATCAGACAATCCACAAAGGTTTGGAATTCCCTCACATATCAGACAATACACAAAGGTTTGGAATTTCCTCACATATCAGACAATACACAAAGGTTTGGAATTTCCCAAAATATCAGACAATACACAAAGGTTTGGAATTCTCTCAATATATCAGACAATCAACAAAGGTTTGGAATTCCCCAATACATCAGACAATCAACAAAGGTTTGGAATTCTCTCAATATATCAGACAATCAACAAAGGTTTGGAATTCCCCAATACATCAGACAATCAACAAAGGTTTGGAATTCCCCAATATATCAGACAATCAACAAAGGTTTGGAATTCCCCAAGATATCAGACAATCCACAAAGGTTTGCAATTCCCCAAGATATCAGACAATACACAAAGTTTTGGAATTTCCCAAAATATCAGACAATACACAAAGGTTTGGAATTCCCTCAATATATCAAACAATCAACAAAGGTTTGGAATTCCCCAATATATCAGACAATCAACAAAGGTTTGGAATTCCCCAATATATCAGACAATCAACAAAGGTTTGGAATTCCCCAAGATATCAGACAATCCACAAAGGTTTGGAATTCCCCAAGATATCAGACAATCCACAAAGGTTTGGAATTCCCTCAAATATCAGACAATCCCCAAAGGTTTGGAATTCAATCAGATATCAGACAATCCACAAAGGTTTGGAATTCCCCAAGATATCAGACAACCAACAAAGGTTTGGAATTCCCCAAGATATCAGACAATCAACAAAGGTTTAGAATTCCCTCAGATATCAGAGAATCCACAAAGGTTTGGAATTCCCCAAGATATCAGGCAATCCACAAAGGTTTGGAATTCCCCAAGATATCAGACAATCCACAAAGGTTTGGAATTCCCTCACATATCAGACAATCAACAAAGGTTTGGAATTCCCCAAGATATCAGACAATCCCCAAAGGTTTGGAATTCCCTCAAATATCAGACAATACACAAAGGTTTGCAATTCCCTCAAATATCAGACAATCCCCAAAGGTTTGCAATTCCCAAAGATATCAGACAAACAGCAAAGGTTTGGAATTCCCCAAGATATCAGACAATCCACAAAGGTTTGGAATTCCCCAAGATATCAGACAATCAACAAAGGTTTGGAATTCCCCAAGATATCAGACAATCCACAAAGGTTTGGAATTCCCCAAGATATTTGGATTTTTCAACAACATAGGACATTAGGATGTTTTCATTAATTTAGGGGATAGAGTAATTCTAATAAAACAGGACTGTTCATTAAGTCTATTAGCTAAGACTGGACCTGTAATCTATACTTTGCCAAAAGAAAATTCTAATTTCATTGCAGAAATTATTGTCAAATTGATGAGTTCAATATGAAGATTCAGTACAGAAAATTTGGAATGGGCCGCAAGTGAAATCAATCAACTTCTTAACAATCTAATCATGATTTAAAAAAAAAAAAAGTTTTGCTATCATAAAACAGGAAGCTGAAGTCCATCCACAACACCTCGTTCATATTCATCTACATCTGCTACATCTTCATCCAGCGAGGCTGACAACTTTTGAAGTAAGACATCCAGAGCCTGTAAAAATTACAATTTGAAATGTTGACAGACACATCAGATACTTTTATATCCTCCTAGTCTGAAACATCTACCTCTAATCCAGCCTCTAATAACTATTCTGACAGTTATCGGTAGGAATAGAGTCAGAAAATCTAGGCCCTGTTTTATGGAGATTTTCCACACTTTCAAAATAGTTATCAGAGGCTGGAAAAGAGTTAGAGGTTTCCGTTTTTATATGTTTTTTCCCTTAAGAATGCAACAATTCAATTCAGTTTTTCAAGTCTTCTTGAACCCTCTTAGACACTCCATGAGAGGCTTGCTGCTATGAAGCCTCCACAGTTGCTCTATTTGTACCCCAAGTCTCGGAAGGCTGGCGCCACCACGGGTTATAGTTCCAGGTGAGTTTAGAGAAAATGACTAAAGCCCAAGATTAAAAACTTCTTTCTTACCACGTCAGTGACAACTTTTTGATGAAGTTTTTTCAATGGTTTATTATTTAATGTTTTCTCTCTATCATGTATTACATTCATAAACTGTTCTATTAAAGTATTCACAATCAAATCTGAAATAGAAAAAATATCATCAATACAAATGAAAAAGTTAATACTTATATGAATAGATAGTAAAGGTGTTATAATGACTTGGAAAAATACCAGTTTGTCTCACATGTCCATAATTAATTCATAATTAGCTTATTTAGAAGAGAATTACCAGCAGAATTTGAAAAAGTGACCGATCAAGAAAGGTCAAAAAGTCTTTTTTTTGTTTATCCAGACTGTACATACATGGACATTTATGATTGGTTAAAACTCTTAATTATATGCAATATTATAGAATAAACAGACTTCTTTAATAAAATATTAAACACTGATAAAGTTTCAACACAATCTAAATCTGATGACGACACGTGTAGATTGTGTTGAAACAATATGTGTCTAATATTATATTAAAGAAGTCTGTTATATTATATAATATTGTCTTGTGTTTATGATTTAGACACTTACTATCAAGATATCTACTAGAATAGTCAGACTCAGACCACAATTGACCTTGTCTAGCTATAGTTGATAATAAATATTGTAAACAAAGTGAATCTGCTAACTTATCTTCTGCTTTTAACGTAACCTATAAAACAAACAAATATTTATAATAAAACCAGCCTGTGTTTCCTTAAATACTACTAAGGCCATCAGCGATTGGCTGTAACTGGAGGTCATGTTCAAGGTCAAGGTCATGAACTTTCAACTGCTTGACTACCAATAAGGAATAACCTTGGTCTAAATTAAATCCATGGTTGAACTAAGGCTTGGTTTACTTACATTCATTTCAAAATTTTTGGCACGAACATTTATTAAAAAGTTTTTGGATATAAATCATTTTATATTGGCCTGGTCTAAATCAAGAACTGATCATTTTATTGGTCCCAAATTAAAAGAGGCTACAGACAGTAGGCTTGGTATATCAATATATAATCTATTTAACAATTGAAGTATTATCAAAAATGTTTTTATCAAAATTGTTGACATACAGCTTTTAACTCTCGTTGGGTAATTTTATCATCGTAGCCTTGTATGACTTCTTTAGAAACTTCTTTAGATTCTTCTAGAATTTCTGGTAGTATGACTTCATCTTCTAGAAACTTGTCAAGTAATGTTTCAAATACTGCATCATCTACCTACAAACATAACATTGGTAAAGAGATTGTAAAGAGAATTTCTAAACTATTCATGTGTATCGGGACACTGATATCATCAATTTGTACCATTCTAATTTTCAATCAGATGTCTATGGTTCCTGAAATTCGACTAAAATTAAATATTTTACTAATCGCAAAGGGCCTTATGTGATACAAGCATATTTTGCAATTAGTGTTAGGGTGTATTGAGAAAGTCTCAATGAAAGCACTGGCCTAGGTCACAGAGCAATAGGATAAGTCTATTGATTATGTGAAAATTAGTTAGTCATTAGTATGATTTTAGTTGAAAAGATATTTAGTGACGTCATCACCACGTATACCAAGATCAAGTGCTATTACAGGGGGTGCAACTTACCACTGCAGGTCCAACTTCAAATATAATATCATCAATGACATCATCTATAATATTATTCATATAGGTGTTATTTAAATGTTCGTCAGCTAGTTCTATCGCACTCTCCTTCACAATATCATAACAACACTGATGAACTGTCTGATCTATTAATCTATTCATCCAGTCCTCTACTGGATCTCGACATTCTACCTTCTCCATTATAATACTACAAAAACAATTTCATTACTGTATGAATTATAAATAAATGTCTTAATGTCTCAATTTCATTAAAAAAATGAATAAAATTGCCTCAAAATAACAATAAAATAAAGAGCTAGTATGCCGGCATGTCATTCTATTATTCATTTGAAGGACATTAACTGACATGTAATGGCTAATCTATACATGATGTCCGATAGAATATATTGAACGTCGGTCATTTGAGCTTCCCCATCGGTCATGCCTGGCATATAGAGCCAAATCAACAGACCTGCTATGCCCATCTTACAAGCAACACCAGCCTCATTATCTTACGAGCAACACCAGCCTCATTATCAAAGCTTAATATCATTAAAGGCTAAGAATATAACATTGAACCGACTTACTCATCTGCCAATGTATTAATACTCTCTCGCACTATTTCTCTGATCATTTTATCAACTTCACGCCCCAAAAAATCCTCACAGACTTGTAACGTAGGTCTGTAATACTCCTGTAAACTCGGTGTTCGGTCACTTGTTAACGGTGTCATGGCTGGTAATGCAAAATGCATTGACTGAAACAGAGGAAATAAGGTCAAGGTATAAGATCAAAATTAGGCAGATCTTCCCTGGGTTTACTTGTCTATACATTATCAAAATCATTTGTTTTTTGTCAGGCATGGATTATTAAAAATTTAACAATAAAAGACCTTGAAAAAGTTTAAATATTGAAAAATTACAAATTGAAATAAATTAAATATCAAGTTATAAATTTTATATTTTCCAAATCCAATACCAAATTTTCAAGTACCAAATCCTAATTTAGAAATAAAAAAACAATATTGCTAGAATATGAACTGATAAAAATATAAATCTGAAAGTTGGAAAGTATAATAGATAAAGACTATATAAACAATATAAAAGGGAAAGAAATTAATAGATCTAAAAGGTAAAGAAATCAACAGATCTAAAAGGTAAAGAAATAAACAGATCTAAAAGATCTAAAAGGAAAAGAAATTAACAGATCTATAAGGGAAAGAAATTAACAGATCTAAAAGATCTAAAAGGGAAAGAAATTAACAGATCTATAAGGGAAAGAAATCAACAGATCTAAAAGGTAAAGAAATAAACAGATCTAAAAGATCTAAAAGGGAAAGAAATTAACAGATCTAACAGGGAAAGAAATCAACAGATCTAAAAGGTAAAGAAATAAACAGATCTAAAAGATCTAAAAGGAAAAGAAATTAACAGATCTATAAGGGAAAGAAATTAACAGATCTAAAAGATCTAAAAGGGAAAGAAATTAACAGATCTATAAGGGAAAGAAATCAACAGATCTAAAAGGTAAAGAAATAAACAGATCTAAAAGATCTAAAAGGGAAAGAAATTAACAGATCTAACAGGGAAAGAAATTAACAGATCTAAAAAGTAAAGAAATCAACAGATCTAAAAGGTAAAGAAATCAACAGATCTAAAAGGTAAAGAAATAAACAGATCTAAAAGATCTAAAAGGGAAAGAAATTAACAGATCTATAAGGGAAAGAAATTAACAGATCTGAAAGATCTAAAAGGGAAAGAAATTAACAGATCTAAAAGGTAAAGAAATTAACAGATCTAACAGGAAAAGAAATAAACAGATCTTAAAAGGAAAGAAATTAACAGATCTAAAAGGGAAAGAAATTAACAGATCTAAAAGGTAAAGAAATTAACAGATCTAAAAGGTAAAGAAATTAACAGATCTAAAAGGTAAAGAAATTAACAGATCTAAAAAGTAAAGAAATAAACAGATCTAAAGGGGAAAGAAATTAACAGATCTAAAAGGGAAAGAAATAAACAGATCTAAAAGGGAAAGAAATAAACAGATCTAAAAGGGAAAGAAATTAACAGATCTAAAAGGGAAAGAAATAAACAGGTCTTAAAAAGAAAGAAATAAACAAATCTAAAAGGGAAAGAAATTAACAGATCTAAAAGGGAAAGAAATTAACAGATCTAAAAGGGAAAGAAATAAACAGATCTTAAAAGGAAAGAATAAACAGATCTAAAAGGGAAAGAAATAAACAGATCTTAAAAGGAAAGAATAAACAGATCTAAAAGGGAAAGAAATTAACAGATCTAAAAGGGAAAGAAATAAACAGATCTAAAAGGGAAAGAAATAAACAGATCTAAAAAGGGAATAAATAAACAGATCTAAAAAGGAAATAAATAAACAGATCTGAAAGGGAAAGAAATAAACATATCTAAAAGGGAAAGAAATAAATAAACAGATCTAAAAGAGAAAGAAATAAACATATCTAAAAGGGAAAGAAATAAACAAATCTAAAAAGGAAAGAAATAAACAGATCTAAAAAGGAAAGAAATTAACAGATCTTAAAAGGAAAGAGATAAACAGATCTAACAAAGGAAAGAAATTAACAGATCTAAAAGGGAAAGAAATAAACAGATCTAAAAGGGAAAGAAATTAACAGATCAGTCTGACCTGACTGAAATGAAATGCATTAAGGAGCATCAGCACCAATGAAGTTTGAGAAGTAGAGATCTTCAGGCAACTGATCTATTTCAGCCTGCGTCCCAACTGAAGTTGGACAACTAGATCTTATTCTCATGTCTACACTTCGGAACGAGTTCAGAGACTCTGTGTAGAGAAGTGTGCTTCTCGAAGATCGAAGTAATTGTAAAGGTATCATTTCTCAAATAGAAGATTTACAAACAGATCTAGGTTAGAAAAATGGAGTTCTAATAAGATATATATGTTGTTTTACATATTCTAAAAATGATAATGCCCTGAACAATAAAATGAAGGGAGATAATAAAACATAAAGCATTGACTACCAGACTTTATACAGAAATATCTATAAGCTATATACTAATCTACATTAATTTCTTAGAATATAAACAAACTTGTTGTTCTATTTCATCATAAACATCAATCAATACATCTGGTACAAACTCTTCCAATAAAAAATCTTCTAAGAGCCAGTCGATAAAATCCGAGGCGAATTTAGGATGTTTGACTATATACATAGACGGAGAATCATCCTAGAAATATATTGTTGTATTAGCCCTAAAATATCCGTCAGAATGCAGCAAATCAAACCTACTTTTAAGAACCCTCCAAGAGCCTATGCACCTGCTTTGAGGTGATCTTCAAGGGATTTTGAGTTGCCAAAATTTCAATCTCAATCCAGACAGTGGCTGCCCCATTAAGTCAGTCCGTCCCCTTATGTACCCTCCACCACTGGTAGGTTGTTATAGTTTTCTTGCGATCAAATATTGTTGAAAAATAAAAGTAAATCAAATTTGAGAGATAAAACTTACAATTTGTTCACCATAAGGATCATATGTATTATGTCCAGCAAAAATATACTGAAAAATAAAACATTGGCTAATACAGAGACCATGTTACAAATTTTGTAAAAGATACCTTCTGGATTCCATGCATATTATAGACGTCATATTGGTCTTGATTGTTGTCTGTACTCGTCTGGTTAGCCCCTTCTCTAACATCTCAATTAATTATAGATCATTATTTCAACCATAAATATTTCAAATTGTGGAATGTGTTAAAGCAGAAATGAAAATAATAATTAAATTCAAATTGTACATAGTGCTGGCCTGATACATGGTTAATCGATACATCGTGATACAACATGCATGAGACTTGTATTTTAAAGATTACCTGATATTGGGGCCGTTCATCATCCGATACATCAGTAACACAAGTAGGACTGGAATCGCTGGGTGTGTCTTCAACTAGTGGTTGACGGACAGATCTACGTTTGACTAGAGGAGACCGTCTAGATCTTCGTTTTACATTCTTCCTATCATGATAAATATCACGATAGCCTCGTTCTTTCTTCTTTCCTTTATACCGCCTACTTCCCTTCGCCCCTTTCGGAGGAGGGGGGTAATATACTGGAAAGGGAGCTCCATATACAATTGCTGGTTGAGGGTAGAAGGCTACAGGATGGGGGTGGGGCATGTACCGAACTTGTTCACCATCAGACTCATTGCCACTATCATCTCCCCAACTATCATAGTCTACCTTCCTAAAATTAAATTTGTTTATATGATGTCGTAAGATCTGTTAAGAAATTTTGTTTTTACAAAGATAATGTCTACCAGTTTGTCCTCTTAAAATTCTTGAGCATTCCTGTTTTACTAGGATAATAAATTAAACATTTCGAGAATAAGGACTACCAGCTGGGTACAGATCTTTCCTGTTCTTTCAGTAACTATTCACAGCTTGGTTGATAAGATACTTTTTTCCATACTAGTCCCTTCAACCCATAACTGGGCTGGAAAACATTTCCTTATTCTCATCCATTGCAACCCCAACTTCTAGTCTAAAGGCATTAAAAACCTATTAAAAAAAAACTTACTTTTCAAATGCTTTCTTTGGTTTAACAGGGGGGACAACTTCAAACTTGTTTCCTCGTAATTTTCTGCCATTTTTCTTTGCTGGTGTATTTGGAGTTTCCAATCTGAAAATAAATCACACTATGTCATCATGCAGTCTGCAATCAGTACATTTGCCCTGAGGAATTAATTTCGCACATGCTTTTTTCCACTTGCTATCGGCTTCAGATCTTTTACATGTACAGCCTGTAGCCAATGTGGCCTCGGTTATTTCTTATTCAAGTAAAAAGACAACATTTTCTCATAGTTGAAATACATATCATCATATTAAATTTTTAAAAAAAGGAATTTTTTGTACCTAAATTAAACTTACCTTAACAAATGTGAAGGCGGCGAGTTTCTGTATTTACCAAAAGGTGGATGAGCATTTCCCGCTGAAAACCTCCGATTTGAAACAGGGGGAGTAACTGTTGTTTTGGGTACGGGAGAGAGTTCAATTACAGATGGGGTTGACCGTGAACTTGATCCTGATAAAATGCGAACTCTCTGAGGTGGATTTTTTCTTTCTTTAAAATGGAGATTTGATTTCAGTATTGGTTTTTTCTGTGATGAATCCTTAGTAACTCCATTAGGTGCTGATTTTGTACTGGTAGCAGATCCAATTCGAGTTGGTTTTCTTTTTCCTGATTTTCTGGCCTGTTTTAATCTGGAAGAATAGTCAGAAATCAAACCATAGAGTTGTCATAATGCTAGAAAGTCACTAAACAAATTGAAATTGTGCTTGGAATAATGGACAGGATTCAATTCTGCTTCCAAATTTAGCTAAGCTTACATGAAGACACAGTGTCATCCTTAAATTATAAAATAGGCCATTATCGGGAAAAATTCTCTAAGCCCAACACTTTTAAATTGAATTTAAGATGGAAGGAAGCATTGGAATATTCTGAACACATATAAATAATTGTCTTTCTGCAAGGTTTCATACTGATTGCACAATGTAAAGGGGAGAGGGGCGAAACAACAACAGTGCCCTTAAATCTACCCCTTACTAATAATAGAGGTCTGTCAGAGGGAAGTCAGCAACTGCAGGTTTTTTGGCCTTTTGTCATTTCTTACAGTGGGGGAATGTTCAGTCAAAAATGTTGGTTGATCATTTTCGTGATGGAAAATTAATTTCGCTAATTTCAAACATAAAATTATGAAAACTTGTACTTCTATGGTCCGGAAGAAATTCTTAGATATTAGAAGACATGAACTTGATAATTTTATTTTGAATATTTATGAAACGATAGACAAAATTCAATTGAGTGATCACAATCATTGCAGTAAACAACTAAAAAGCGAAAGCGAAAGTTTCATAACAACGGAATGCCATAAATAAAATCAACTTTTAAGCTTAATCTAGAGCCTTACGAATGTTGACGTTCATTCCAAATGGACTCTATGTCTACATCAGACATCTTAAAGCACTCCCATTCGACGAATATTTTCTATAAGTCCCTCACTAGGCATATAAACTATCAATGGTCGACAAAAGTTGTTTACATGCCGCCATGTTGGAATGTGTAATGACCTAAGAGCAGATAACTCTTGTTAAAATTTAGTTATCTCCCTTAGACCATCTCTGCCAATTAATCTGAATAACATGTATTGATGATTAATTAAGGGGTTTATCGTTAATATGGCACAGAATTTGGGTATGGCAATTTCTCGGCAGAGTTCCAGCAGACCTTACATGGTAGACCGTTTATGCCTTATAGTAGCTGGGGGTACTCAATGCTACAGCTCTGCGGAAATACCATAGGCTTAAACCCTTCCGTGGAGCGCATGAGAAAAACGAACTTGATTTGGTGCATTCTGACACTGATTATGGGGAAAACATATAAAAAACATATTGTCAAACTTGTTAGAGATGAGGTGGGGTTACAAACCATTTCCGAGGGGAGTAGATGCCCCGCCCAACCCCCCTTTGATGCTTAAGGATCTTTTAAATTCAACGATACCGGTATCATTTCCCATCATACAAAAACTAATGTATTACAAACAATCAAACGCCAAAGGTAGAAAGTGAAAAAATATATTTGACCGCAGGGGTACTGTGAATCAAATAAATTTATTCAAGATGAAAATATACCAATATCTACAGGATCGACGATAGGTGAACAATTTCCATTAAAAAAAAAAAACCAATTACACGAAAATACAAAAAAAAAAAAAAAACCACGAAAATATGAAAGAAAATAATCTTAAACAATCGCTTGCCAATCAAGATACAACCAATCCTCAGTACATAAAGGGCAAACGTACCCGGAATATAACTTGAACAGATCTTGCAGATACAAACATACAGACAGAATTCTATAAAAATCAGATAAAAACCTTGGTCTCTATATGCTATATATAGATCGCTAGCCAAGAGCAAGAGCAATATATGTTTACATTAGAATAACGTCATCAGACTACTTGTATTTTTTCTCTCCTACTACATGGGAATAACAACATTTTCTCGTGTGATATTTTCATTATCAGGATATAGCACCGAAACGGCCAATTCCATTACTCCAACCAATTACTATGCACCACTGTCCTTCCGGATATATTACTTGCCCCTCCCTCCTCCTCCTAAATAATCCAGACTGTCTACTGAATCAACAACCAAATAAAGCATAAAACACTACACATTACCTCTTGTGGTGTTCAGTGGGACCCCTAAGGGATACTAGTTCCCAAGTTTAAAAAAAAAGGCATCATGCACCGGAAGTCCTGTACTGAAGTTTTTGAGTTCATCACATATCACCAACAAATCTTCCCACAAGTGATTATGAATTTTAAAATTCTTGTCTGGAGGGTTGCATGCCATTATCTGCAATTTAATTTAATTAACGATTTGTTAAAAACTGATATTAACTTGGCCTGTGGGTAGATATGTCTAATATAAATTGAAACATCCAGTACAATGGTCATTATTAAATTAATAAGAAGAAGATGGATTCAGTACGACTCCTTGCTTCACTCCTCTTTGGGATTACTTTGATTGTCACCGTCAACTCAGGTAAGCAAACCTGTGCTGTTTTCATTTTTACTTTGTTTTATTTTCGATCTAATGTAAGTGAAGAAGTCATCTCAGATGGGACGTAAAACTCCATTCATTTCAGCTGCTGTACCAATAATACAACTGATGCTTTTATCCATAATTATCAGGAGTGTGGCTGTATTTCAGCGTTTTTTAAAAATAAATCATTAGGTGGAAAGGCCGAGGTGGGACAACAGAATTGTAAAGGAGGGGGTTGGGGAATAGCACCAATCAGGCGCGCCAAAATTTTGGGGTCCTCCCGTAGAATCTGATCAATTGGTACATGACCCTCGGCTCATCGACAATTATTGGAAATTCGCAGTCACCACTGGTTGTCAGCATTTCACCATGTTCCTGTATCCAGCAAAATTGGACGTTGTCGTCGTAATCTGGGACTGTCCAAATCACCAGAGTTGCCAGCAGTCGGTCAATTTTTAGATCCAATGCGATGATTTACATCACATTCGACCAAATATTAATATTTTTTTGTAATGCATCGTTTCGTTTCATTGTAGAATGTGTATTTAATACTTGCCCATCGAAAGGAGTTGGTATGTTTGCTCATTGTGGAGACTGTTCCAAGTTTGTGGTGTGTATCAATCAGTGGTCTATACCGCTTAATTGTCCAGATGGTTTGGTTTTCGATCCTTCATTTCAAATGTGTAATTATCCAAGCCAAGAAAATTGCATGTAAGTTACAGACTTTTTCTTCTTATGTATTGGGGAAAGAGGGGGGATTATACGCCGCACTTTTAGCAAAAATACTTTGACACGTCACGAAAAGGATTTAGTATGCAACAATCATCAGATTTTCTATAAAATGTTCCGTGTTAAATCCAAAAACAAAAGTTGGAGTGGTGAATTCCAAGTTGACAACGAAGAGGTGTATTAATTGGTTTGAAAGAGTATGCAGTTACTTGTCATCTCAAATTCCATCGTACAAGGAGACAGTCATGATCTTCATATATTCCATTTAGCTATCAGTAAAGCTTTTTGCAAATTTTTATCAAGAAAGGGTGGGAGGTAAGAGTTGGGATCATTTGGTCAGGGGATCATCTTATCTTGTTTTTACACAGAGAGAGTTATCAGGCTTACTGATAATAAAACCATTCTCTTTTAGACCTTCAACATCTGTAAGTCCTACATCACCAACAAGTCCTACGTCACCTACCAGTCCTACGTCACCTACCAGTCGTACGTCACCTACCAGTCCTACGTCACCAACAAGTCCTACGTCACCTACCAGTCCAACATCACCTACCAGTCCTACGTCACCTACCAGTCCTACATCACCTACCAGTCCTACATCACCTACCAGTCCTACATCACCTACCAGTCCAACGTCACCAACCAGTCCTACGTCACCTACCAGTCCTACGTCACCTACCAGTCCTACATCACCTACCAGTCCTACGTCACCAACAAGTCCTACGTCACCAACAAGTCCTACGTCACCTACCAGTCCTACATCACCTACCAGTCCTACATCACCTACCAGTCCTACCTCACCAACAAGTCCTACCTCACCAACAAGTCCTACATCACCTACCAGTCCTACATCACCAACAAGTCCTACATCACCTACCAGTCCTACATCACCAACAAGTCCTACGTCACCTACCAGTCCAACATCACCAACAAGTCCTACGTCACCTACCAGCCCAACATCACCAACAAGTCCTACGTCACCTACCAGTCCAACATCACCTACCAGTCCAACATCACCTACCAGTCCTACATCACCTACCAGTCCAACATCACCTACCAGTCCTACATCACCTACCAGTCCAACATCACCTACCAGTCCAACATCACCTACGTCAGCTACCAGTCCTACGTCACCATCCCCATGCATTGACTCGTGTGAACAGAAAACAGACGGTGACTATCAATCCTGTAATAGCTGTACAACATACGTCACTTGTGTAGGTCAAACTATGATCTCAAACAGACCGTGTCCTACCGGAACCTTCTGGGATGACAATTCTAAACAATGCTCTTTGACATCCACAACTTGTAACTAAATTGCCGTGTAAAGCCGTTACAAATACATGAAACTGAGACTTGTAAAGAAGTTTAGTAAATGAAATGTATTGATCTTTTAAGGAAATAAAATGTATCAATAAAATCTTACTCTTTCTTGCCTTTCTTTTCTGGGGCATATCTATAAAAAGTCTAGAGGCCAGAGGCCCCTTCCCCCCTAGAAGCCAACCCTGAGATGAATTTTGAGCTCCTTGAACCTGGTATTAGATGTCTAGAAGAGTAAACATACCCTGCCTGGCGCCGCACCTGTCATCGCTGCATATGCGATCAAATTTGAACAGATCAGGTCGACGACTAAACAAACCTCTGATAAAAAGTAAAATATGTACAACTTATGCCAATGGCAATACATATCGGTATTTACAGCGATTGGTTATTCTAGATTCTGCTATTAGAGTTGTTCTCAAATTGTTACCAGAACAGGGCTATAGGATATGTTATAATACTAAAAACATTGTCAGAATGCTGGAATATGGTTATTAATATTTTATTTCAATTCAGAAAAGAAAACATTGTGTAATAAGAAGTATAATTTTATTTACAAAATATATCAATGCATTTTAGTACCTTAACTACTTTACAATAGTTTTTTAATTCATAATAAATACTACTTTTTAATTTTACCCTCCATTTTAACCTTCAATTTTACTTACAAGTTGTGGTTGTCATAGAGCATTGTTTAGAATTGTCATCCCAGAAGGTTCCGGGAGGACACGGTCTGTTTGAGATCATAGTTTGACCTACACAAGTGACGTATGTTGTACAGCTATTACAGGATTGATAGTCACCGTCCGCTCTCTGTACACACGAGTTGATGCATGGGGATGGTGACGTTGCACTGGTAGCTGACGTAGCACTGGTAGCTGACGTAGCACTGGTAGCTGACGTTGCACTGGTAGCTGATGTTGCACTGGTAGCTGACGTAGCACTTGTAGCTGACGTAGCACTGGTAGCTGACGTAGCACTTGTAGCTGACGTAGCACTGGTAGCTGACGTAGCACTTGTAGCTGACGTAGGGCTGGTAGCTGACGTAGGGCTGGTAGCTGACGTAGGTCTATAAAATGATAGTTAACTACAATTAGAACATACCTACACTCATAAAGCACTCTTTTCTATCAAGTTTAATTTTATAATTAGGATTCATTATGGCCACGTTGCACGAGTCTTAAATTCACAGCACATGCGATAATCCATGTATTCAATTTTGAATAATTAATAAAGCAATTAAATTATCTAAACTACTTAACGAAATTTAAAACATTGACAAGTGCTAAGTTGGTAGATGCACCTTCGTCAAGAATAAAAAAAATATAACTTACATGCAATTTGCTTGGCTTTGATAATTACACACATTTATTGAAGAATCGAAAACCAATCCAGCTGGACAATCAATCGGTACAAGCCGCTTACCGATACACATCACAAACTTGGAACAGTCTCCACAATGAGCAAACATACCAAATGCTATCGATGGACAAGTATTGAATACACATTCTACAATGAAAGGGAAAGTTACATAGAGCATCATATGGGAAAATATATCAATGATAAATGTGGGGGTAATTCATAATGAACTGTGGCATCAGGTGTCTAGAAGAGTAAGCATACAATACCTTCTCGACAATGTTGCTCAATATACACAAAAATATGAAGGTAAAAACAAAAATATACTGACTGGACTACTCAAATTTTATAGTTCAAGGGAGGTAACTGATGGAAATATTATGAATATTATTAACATGGAGGGAACTAACTGAAAACACAAAAGTTCGAAAACCCAGTAAATTAAAAAAAAACAGGAAGTATATCAATCACAAATTAAAAGTGGTATCAGGTGTCTAGAAGAGTAAGCATATCCTGCCGATATACAACCACTCTCAAACACTACATAAAACTTCTGGCTTGCATATATAGAGTACTAACGAGCAAAACGAAACCCAGAATCCAAACAAGATATTGATGAAACAATGGTAGCAGCTAATAAACTTTTCAGATTCAGGATAATATTTTAGAAAATCTATAATGGGTGAAAGTGGAAAAATGACCCTTCATTTATTTACTAAATTATAATTATGCAAAATGCCATCACGTAAAAAGCAAGGTTTAGTCTCGGGCATGTTAGGCCAGGGTTGGCTCTCAACGTACCTCTTTGTTTCAGGGTTAATATTTTTTTTGAATTAAAAGTTTACAATGTTATGAACATTCACCTGCAGGATGAGATCATGTGATTACAGGCTACTGAAATATTTACTTATATTGATAAGTAACATCAAATATAGTGTGACCAAGTCGAACCTGGAGGGTTAATGTGTTGTGGTCTCAGAATTTAATTTTTCTATCTCTACCACTTGGAACTTAATAAATGAGATAAATTTATAATAGATATAGAAAACAAGAAGAAATTTACCTGAATTGACAGCTACAATAAAAGTAAAACCAAAGAGGAGTGAAGCAAGGAGTCGTACTGAATCCATCTTCTTCTTATTAATTTAATAATGACCATTGTACTGGATGTTTCAATTTATATTAGTCATATCTACCCACAGGCCAAGTTGATATCAGTTTTTAACAAATCATTATGTTGTCTGTTATTCAATTAAATTGCAGATAATGGGGTGCAACCCTCCAGACAAGATTTTAACAGTTGATAATCGCTTGTTAGTTCAATGAAGCAAAAACACTTCAGTAAAGGACCTTTGAATAGCAGAGGCAGTCTTCATTGCATAGCACAATATCAGCATAGGGTGAGACAAAAAATAAGAAGGTTTATGTTCAGACGAGAGCTTCTTCTACATATTGATGACAAGTTTGGCTATATGTGATACCAGTCGTTTAAAGAGGGTTCGACAATGAGTCGGTCCTTTCCCGGGGGATTGGGGGGTGTGGTTGGGGGTCAATTAGGAACAATAATATTTTTAAACTAAACCAATCAGTAATTTTGTTCACAGCTCATCGTCGAAATTTGAGCCTTCAAATCCATGTGTGTCCAAAAATTATCCGCGTTTGAAAGTTTAAAAGACGAGTCGTCTTTGCTTGAGACACTGCCGTAATTAAAAAATACATCAACAAAAATAGGAAAATAAATTTCAGATAATTTTGACGGAAATGCTCTCATTTATCGAAGTGTTTTTGCTTCATTGAATTAAGAAGCGATTATCAATTGTGAACAATCTTGTCTGGAGGGTTGCACGCCTTTATCTGCAATTTAATTGAATAACAGACAACATAATGATTTGTTAAAAACTGATATCAACTTGGCCTGTGGGTAGATATGACTAATATAAATTGAAACATCCAGTACAATGGTCATTATTAAATTAATAAGAAGAAGATGGATTCAGTACGACTCCTTGCTTCACTCCTCTTTGGTTTTACTTTTATTGTAGCTGTCAATTCAGGTAAATTTCTTCTTGTTTTCTATATCTATTATAAATTTATCTCATTTATTAAGTTCCAAGTGGTAGAGATAGAAAAATTAAATTCTGAGACCACAACACATTAACCCTCCAGGTTCGACTTGGTCACACTATATTTGATGTTACTTATCAATATAAGTAAATATTTCAGTAGCCTGTAATCACATGATTTTATCCTGCAGGTGAATGTTCATAACATTGTAAACTTTTAATTCAAAAAAAATATTAACCTTGAAGCAAAGAGGTACGTTGAGAGCCAACCCTGGCCTAACTTGCCCGAGACTAAACCTTGCTTTTTACGTGATGGCATTTTGTATAATTATAATTTAGTAAATAAATGAAGGGTCATTTTTCCACTTTCACCCATTATAGATTTTCTAAAATATTATCCTGAATCTGAAAAGTTTATTAGCTGCTACCATTGTTTCATCAATATCTTGTTTGGATTCTGGGTTTCGTTTTGCTCGTTAGTACTCTATATATGCAAGCCAGAAGTTTTATGTAGTGTTTGAGAGTGGTTGTATATCGGCAGGATATGCTTACTCTTCTAGACACCTGATACCACTTTTTATTTGTGATTGATATACTTCCTGTTTTTTTTAATTTACTGGGTTTTCGAACTTTTGTGTTTTCAGTTAGTTCCCTCCATGTTAATAATATTCATAATATTTCCATCAGTTACCTCCCTTGAACTATAAAATTTGAGTAGTCCAGTCAGTATATTTTTGTTTTTACCTTCATATTTTTGTGTATATTGAGCAACATTGTCGAGAAGGTATTGTATGCTTACTCTTCTAGACACCTGATGCCACAGTTCATTATGAATTACCCCCACATTTATCATTGATATATTTTCCCATATGATGCTCTATGTAACTTTCCCTTTCATTGTAGAATGTGTATTCAATACTTGCCCATCGATAGCATTTGGTATGTTTGCTCATTGTGGAGACTGTTCCAAGTTTGTGATGTGTATCGGTCAGCGGCTTGTACCGATTGATTGTCCAGCTGGATTGGTTTTCGATCCTTCAATAAATGTGTGTAATTATCAAAGCCAAGCAAATTGCATGTAAGTTATATTTTTTTTATTCTTGACGAAGGTGCATCTACCAACTTAGCACTTGTCAATGTTTTAAATTTCGTTAAGTAGTTCAGATAATTTAATTGCTTTATTAATTATTCAAAATTGAATACATGGATTATCGCATGTGCTGTGAATTTAAGACTCGTGCAACGTGGCCATAATGAATCCTAATTATAAAATTAAACTTGATAGAAAAGAGTGCTTTATGAGTGTAGGTATGTTCTAATTGTAGTTAACTATCATTTTATAGACCTACGTCAGCTACCAGCCCTACGTCAGCTACAAGTGCTACGTCAGCTACAAGTGCTACGTCAGCTACAAGTGCTACATCAGCTACCAGTGCAACGTCAGCTACAAGTGCTACATCAGCATCGGCTACCAGTGCCACATCAGCTACTAGCCCTACGTCAGCTACCAGTGCTACGTCTGCCACCAGTGCTACGTCTGCCACCAGTGCTACGTCAGCTACCAGTGCTACGTCAGCTACCAGTGCAACGTCACCATCCCCATGCATCGACTCGTGTGTACAGAGAGCGGACGGTGACTATCAATCCTGTAATAGCTGTACAACATACGTCACTTGTGTAGGTCAAACTATGATCTCAAACAGACCGTGTCCTACCGGAACCTTCTGGGATGACAATTCTAAACAATGCTCTATGACAACCACAACTTGTAAGTAAAATTGAAG